CTCCCCTCCTCCTCCTCCTCCTCCTCCTCCTCCCCTCCTCCTCTCTCCTCTCTCTTTTATTGTGCTTCTTCTTCTTCTTCGTGCTCCTCCTCCTCCTCCTTCTTCCCCTCCTGGCTCGTGCCCAAGGGGGCGGTCCTTGGTGATCTCAGTGGCCGCGTTTGAGCACCGCCCGCACTTGTGGCACAGCTGCTCAGACCACTCTCTGGGGGAAGGGCGCAGGATGCTTCGAACGGGTAGTGCATGAGCAATGGCGGCGGGATGTATCTCTGCAGCCCAGCCCAGCACTCTGGGACACTCGGGATAGTAGGGCTCGTGGTCGCGCCCGTCGCGACAATCAACTTTGAATCTGCAACCGTCTTCTTGAAACCTCGCTGCAATTGTCCATGCGCCGAAGAGCGTTCTGGCGCATGGCGAGCCCAACGCCTGCGGAAGCCGTGCACATGCAGCCTGCACCCCTTCACAATTTATATCATCAATTTCGTGCTCTAAATGGGGGTGTCACGCTTTGGGGCGACGGTTAAGAGTGGAGGCAATGACATGGGGATGGGGGGGGGGCGAGATAGAACTACACAATGCTCGCTGCAGCTTCGGGCGTGGGCCCGCGGCGCAAGAGAGGCTCCGAAGCTTCGCGGGGAGCGGGATGGCGACCTCCAATGCAGCGCGGCCGCGCGCCTCCAGTTCAGCAGACGATGGGGAACATCGGGCAGCCCCTCTCAGGTTCTCAACGATGCTGCTGTCGGCCCAGAATGGTGGGGAGAGCCTGCCAGTGCATGCGAAAACAGATCCGCGCTGAGAGGTCGCTGTAGTTCTCGGGCGCGAATGTAGTACCTCCCAGCCCTTGAGGGTCCAACGGACAGCGCGTATTCTCGCTGCGAGGTTCACCGCCAGGCCGCTTCGGAACCGAGGTGCGCCCCGCGAGTGTATGTTAGATGAATCTGGGCATGCGAATGAACAGTGTGGCACGCGATGCGCAGCAGCTAGAACGGCATGTTCTGACACAGGGTGCTTGGAAGGGAGGGGGGGCGACCAACGTAGCAGAGGGTCGCCAGATCCCATTGCTCGTACAGCATAGCGGCAACAAATGTTGGCGGAGATGCGGCAGCAATGTCGAGCACGCGTTGGGTCTGCTTGGCTCTAGGGACTAGCGGCGACTGCAAACGAGCAGCTGGGCCTCGGATTATCCCTGAGTTTTCAGCGTGGATGTAATCTGAAACTCTGACCGTTCTGGGATCACTCGAGCGATCCAGGCCCTGCACGTTTCGGCCAGCTCGGGGCAAAAGGAATGGGGAACACTTGGGCGGTATCGAATGAAGCGCGGCATAAGCTGCAGCAAGCTGAAACATGCGGATGAGGGTCTTCGAACCCGAAATGACAGCCACCACGGCTCCGAGGTTGTCAACGCAGGCGCGGGCCGCTCCAGGGATGGGGCGGCGAAGCGTCTTGGCGCCTTCTGTCGAGTCTGCTGCTGGGCTATGTCTCTTCTGAAAAGTGCCCTCGAGCATCGCCAAAGACCGGTCGGGGGCAAGAGCGCGCAAGGCGCCGTTGCCAGGGCGCCCATGCACTATGTCAGACAAGATATGGAAGAGAGGCAACAGGACGTGTTTACCATTACAAAACACATCACATTAGCGTCGATGACGCGCGCGTAGAATTTGGGGTGGTAGGGGTGAGACTAGGCAAGGCGTGGGCGAAGTCGAAACTGACGAGGGCAGGCAAGGCATGCGGGGCGCACTCGCGCATCGAAGCCGCTCTCGCGTACATGTCGAGCTCGACCATATTCGTGCCGCGGTTCCGTCCTCGAACGAATACACGCTGCAGTTGACTGCCGAAACTTGGGATCTCACGCGAAAGGGGCCATAAGACGGCAACCGCACTCGCCTTCGCGTCCGCGTTTTGACCCCGGGGGGTCTAGTTTGAGCGGCGGGGCGCATGATGCCTGTGGGGTCCCCGTCGTCTTCGCCTTCGGGAATGGACGCTTTTCGAAGATGGTTGAAATCATAACTCATGTATTGCCCATGAAGCACCACCACATCACCGTCGCAATACCAGTACTCTGGGCACCACGGGGGTGATATAGCCAAGCAGCAGGAGGGGGGGCATCAGGGCCTGGGGCACTGTTGGAGGCCTTCTGGAGCACCTTAGTTATGGTATGCTGAGACGGAGCAGGGAGGTTCGTGAGGGCCACCTTCGGGCCGTACTTATAAACAAACTCTGTAGCCTTCTGGATCTCTACCTGCTTCGGGCTGAAGACCTGGCTCCAGTGAGACGAGAGCGCAGCGAGCGTCGTATCAGGAGCAGCGTGAACTTGGCCATCGCGCCGCATTCCTTGCAACACAAGCCAGCGATCAAGAGGTGACTGGAGCCTGGCACGCTTCGCCAACCCCCGAAGACGACCTCGGACATTCTTCTGGATCTGGGCCGGGTCATCGGCGTCCAACGTCGAGCGTGGCGCAGCTTGCTTCTGCACCGCTAGTTTGTGGCGCGCAACGTTGGTCGCCATCTGGAATTCGACGGGGTGGCGAAGCCGAAGAACAGAGCTAACTTCATCAATCTCAAGAATGCCGAGCAAGACGGTGACTCGCAACAGGGCGGCGTTCCAAACGCATATTTTGTTGTTAGAAGGCCCTGGATATAGACTTGTAGACGATGAAGTGAGAAAGGGTAGATTTAGGTTTTTTTAAGATCATGATGTTTCTCGCGCGCTGGGCCGCCGCCCTCGTCGCCTTCTTCTGAGAGGCGAGCAAAACTGGGCCAGTCGCGGAGCGAGACCCCCGCCCGCGCGCGCGCCCAGTCGCGAAGCGTCACCCCAGTCGCGGAGCGAGACTCTCCACCAATCGCGGAGCGAGACCCCAGCCGAATGGAGGAGGCGGAGGGGGTGGAGGAGGCGGGGGCGGAGGAGGATGAGGAGGATTACGGTGGGATTGTGCTGCCCTGCGCTGGGGGCCGTTCCTAGACTGGGGCCCGGACGAGGAGGGCTCAGCTCCTGCACACGGCCAGTCCGAGCTACAGGACAATGCTGCACAAGAGTGCTTGGCCCGTGGTCGGGTGACACCCCTCCCACGACCTCCCGGGTGACAACCAGAAGCGGCGCTGTAAAGCAGAACTCATGCATGTTCTGGTTTACAGCGCTGCGTCTTTGGAGCCTGCCTCCGCTGGGTCGCGTAGCGGTCACAGCGCTGAGAGAACGTGAGCAGCACGGATCACGAGCTTGTTGCCCGCGCCGTGAGGGCTTCGGAGTCATGCCGCTTCGCTCAGTCGGATCATCCTGCTCCAGAAGGGGTTCCCGTGGGTCTTCATCCACTCCGCCAGCCGCATCCAGTCGTGGCCACGGGGGCGCCCGCCCCCAAAGGGGCGCCGTCCCCCACCCCCCCCGGGTCATCGCGAGAGGCGACTCCAGAACCCCTTGACTCTCGACCCTCAAATCCCCGATCCTGCGGCGGCGGTGGCGGCGACGACGACGACCTCCCGCGACGACGACGGCGATCTGACACGACCTTCTACGACCCTACAGTCATCGTGCTAAATACCGAAAGGAACGTTCGTGAAGGAGCGAAGGGGCTCTTCTGGCCACGATGGGCCTCGGCCACGACTACGTTCCTCGACCTAGATCAAAGGAGCCGGGTCGAAGGTGGCACTCCGACTTCAGGCGGCAGCCGAGCCTCTGCTGACGGGGCACAGCTGGCAATCCATCACTGCGCTTGCTGCGCATCGAGGCCCGACGCGCGCTGGCCTCTGGCAGGCGATGCGGCGAGAGGGCAGCGCTGGCGACGGCGCTGCCGGCTGACGTGCCCCGCCGCTTGGACTGTGGGCGACGGCAACTGCCGCTGATGACGCAGGCACGGGGGCCGCTCGCTGGGCGCACTCATCTTCGCACACGCCACGGCGACAACGATGGCGACGACGACGACGACGCCCTTCTGAGCCTAAAGTTGTTCTTGTGTCAGCGTCTTGGCTGTGCGCGACGCCGACCTTGAGCGATGGCCCACGCGCAGGCCGCGACGGTCTGCTCCTGGGCCCGCCCGCTCGGCGCGCCCGCGGGGGGTGCAGCAAAACGAGGGCGGCCGCGCCCCGGTGCGACCCCTCAACGCGGGCGGCCTGAGCGAAGATGTCTGCGCCGCCTCCGTCGTCGTCGTCGTCGCCGTCGTCGTCGTCGTCGCCGTCGCCGTCGCCGTCGCCGTCGCCGTCGCCGTCGCCGTCGCCGTCGCCGTCGTCGTCGTCGTCGTCGTCGTCGTCGTCGTCGTCGTCGTCGTCGTCGTCGTCGTCTTCGGCGGCGGCGTCCGGCGGCGTCCGGCGGCGTCCGGCGGCGTCGGCGTCGTTGTCGGCGTCGCCGAGGTGGCGTTGTCGTAGCGCCGTCGCAGCGCCGTCGGCGTCGTCGTCCCCAAGGGCCTCCAGAGTTCTCTACGAAGGTCGCAGCAGTTGCGCTTCTGTGGAAGCCGAACTCGGCTCTCCAAAGACACGCCGTTCCCTCAGCCCGAAGCGCTCCGGGGCCCGGGTCGATCTTCGAGCCCTGCGCCGCTCACCACGAGGGACAGACCGCAGGGTCCAGGCCAAGGAAGGCCGCCCCCCCAGCGGCGGACTCTCGGGCCGAGGCGTTCAGTGGCCCGGGTGAGTCTTCCGAGGGGCAGGCCGCAGGGTCCGGGCCAGGGGAGGCGCCCCAGCCCAGGGGTCGCGCCGCCGCGAGCCACGCAGCTCTCTCAGGCCGAGGCGTGCAAGGGGCCTGGGTGCGTCTTCCGAGGACAGGCCGCCAGTTCCGGGCCCAGGGAGGCTCCCCCCCCGGGGGCGGCGCGCCGCCGCGAGCGGCGAGTCGTGGTGGCCCTCCGCGACGAGCGCGGCGCCTCCGCGCCGGCGGGCGTGCCGAGGCTCCCCCCCCCTCGCGTGGTGACGGGCATCGGGGCAGAGGGTGCCTGGGCATCGTAAGGCCGGGAGGCAATGCTCGTGAGTGGGAGCGTTAGGGGCGCTCGATGCGTCGGGGAGTGGGGGGGGGGGCAGAGGGAAGGCCGCGGCGACGAGGGCGCCTCGAGTCGGCAGGGGGGGGGGGCGAATTGAACTCGATGGCGGCGGCGGGGGGGGGGCACGGCCCAGGGGGGAAGCATCGACCTGGAATCGGCGACGCATCGCCGACTGAGCGGCGATGAGCCCCCGATAGCGAATCCGCACGTTCCTGGGTAGGGCGGGCTATCGTGCCCCTGTCGGCGATCAAGGGGCGGTTGGGGGTGGTCGATGGGTGCCACCCTGAGCCAATTCCCCACCTAATGCTGCCCCTGACCCTCGGGGCCTTCCTGGGCCCTAGGGCCGTCGAACAACCCCTCAGCTACACGCAGAGGTGGCCCTGTGCAAAGTGTAACGTCTGGTGCGAGATCGGCTCGGAAGGTGTTTGGCCACCCTCAGGGCCTTATCACGGCGGCGCGCCGAGGGGGGAAGCAACAGGGGGCAGGTTTTCTCAGACGGCGGCGGGGCTTCGTAGAAGGCCTCTGGCCTTGTGGGGAGCCCCGGAGACCCCTGTGGCTCTGGAGGAGGCCTGGAAAGGTTCTCAGATGGCCGGGGGCCTTCTGAGCCTTCCCATAGCCTTCCCCTCTCACATGGCCTTCCCCTCTCCCATAGCCTTCCCCCTCTCCCATAGCCTTTCCCTTTTCCATAGCCTTCCCCCTCTCCCCTGACTGAGCCCCCTCCCCCATAGCCTTCCCCCTTTGGCGCGCCGCCGATTACCGGGCCCAGCGGCCGTCCCCGGGCAAAGAGTGGTCTCTTGTGCGCGGCCTGCTCCTCGCTACAGTGCGACGCGCAGCAGCGGCCTGCGTGCTTCTGGGTTTGGTCCCCTCGGCGGCCCTCGAAAGTCACGCACCAGAGGTCACTCTGGCGAAGGGCCACTCTTCTCACGTGTGTCCGAATCGGTGACAAGAGCACTAGATACGAAAAGCCTGTCCTGGGGAAGGGGTCGCAACCATCTGGGCGTCCGCGCTGTCACCAAATCACGGCGTCGGGGGCATGTATTGGCAGGGCCGCTCTCGGCGGCGGGGCATAAAGAGACTGCTGTCTGACGCTTCGTCAACCGCGCGACAAGCAGAGGCCACGTCCACTCAGCGCGCGCCAGTTCGAAAGTGCTTCGCTCTTTTTTCCGTGCCATAACGCATGAGGTCCAGTGGGCGGGGCTGTGAAAGCAGGTGTGCGCACACCAATGCGAGCGTGTGCGCGCGCTCGCGCGGCTGGGTGCACCCTGGCGCCGTTGACCGACTCTAACCCGGGGGGCAGCCTTGGAAAGGACATGGATGAGGATGAAGGTGAGGATAAGGGTGATGCTGGTGAGGATGAGGATGAGGACGAGGACGAGGACGAGGATGTTGCTGATCATGATTACGTTTGTGATGACGCTGCTGATGATGATGACGACTATGCTGACGATGATAATGAAGGTAATGGTGGTGATGGTGATGTCGATGCTGCCGATGACGTTGCTGCTGATGTTGTTGATGATGTTGCGTATGAGTATGATGATTATGATGATAATGCTGATGCTGCTGATGCTGATGCTGATGACGCTGATGGTGCTGATGCTGAATATGCGTATGGTATGATGATGCAGATGAAGCGGATGATGTTTACGATGGGACTCCTGCTGGTGATGATGATGATGATGATGATGATGATGATGATGATGATGATGATGATGATGATGATGATAATGAGGATGATGATGTTGGGGACGATTGTGATGATGCTGATGGAGATTATGATGATGTATTATGATGGTGGCACTGCTGATGCTGCTGATAATGATGATGAGGATGAAGATGATGACGATGAGAGCAGGAGGAGGAGATGCAGCAGGATGATGAAGGGATGAGGAGGAAGAGGAGGAGGAAAAAGGAGGAAGAGGAGGTGATGATGATGATGAGGAGGAGGAGGAGAAGAAGGGGGGAGGAGGAGGAAGAGGAGGAGGCGGAAGAGGAGGCGGAGGAGGAGAGGGAGGGCGAGGAGGAGGAGGAAGAAGAGGAGGAGGATGAGGAGCAAGCGGGGGAGAAAGAAGAGGAAAAGGACGAGGAAGAGGAGGATGACGACCAGTGCAAAACCTAGGTTCACCAACGATGTTGGAACACACCTCTCTCCAATCTCCCTCTTCATAGCCACCTACAAAAGTTTCTTTCTACTGGGGGAACTGCCTCGTTGGAGGACAACCGTTTGAATACCCTGACGAATGCTAAAGCATGGTTCTCGGGATTCCAACGCCACGGATCAACCTGACTGCTGCGTCTTGACGACCCTGAATCGTGCCAGGACGCCATTCCTGGGATTTCACTTTGCGAAACAACGTAACCATTGCACCCTCATTGCCCTGAACCCTTCACTTCCAATACACCATTCCTGGTGGGCTGCTCATTGGAACCCGTGAAACTCTTGCACATTGTAAGAATGAATGTGCGCGGCGCTAATGCGACAACCACATTTTGAAAACCTGCCGCCCTCAATCCGTGAATCTCTGGCACATGTTTGAAGCGAATACGCGCG